CTTTCCTGTCTCTGCCCATAATCATCTTTGAGCTGATAATGCTTTGGCCTCTGTAGACAAATGCAGGGCCAAACTTGCTCTACTCTGACTAATGCTTTGGGGATGAGCACAGACCTCCTTTGACAGGAAGCTAAGGACGCAAGTGCTTCATGAGTGACTTGGGTCTGTACTGGATAGAGGAATGGCAGGAGGTTTCCCTCATGGTGGGATGGGAAGAAAAGAAGAATTCAGTGCTGTCTGGCTTTCTGGATTTTAGTGACCGGGAGGAAACAGGTTCAATGTCTTAAGAGGTGGATTCTGTTGCCTGGCTGAGGCTGGTAATCTGGTGTAGAGCTTTTGATGAAGATAACTGGCAGGGACAGGAGGAAGAAGAGGAAAGGCCTCAGTTGAGGCCTTCCGATCCCCAGGTTTGGGTCCCTGTTCTTGCCTGGGCCAGACTGCATAGTCTCCTTCTATGCATCAGTCCCATCTCTTTGCCACAAGTATGAATCTGCCTTGTGCTGCGTGCTGGGAGGATGTAGATAAATAAAGACTAAAGGTATTGTGCATGTTAGTGAAGGAATGCTTATTGCTTAAATCCTTGCTTAGGGCAAAGGTTTTACTTTAAAATGTATCTTTGGTAAGTATGTGCACATTCCAGACAAACTCTGGCTTAGCTGAAAGGCTCCATGGACTCTGCTGGCTTGCACACGTAGAGGTGTTGAGCCTGGGCTGTCCTTGGATAAGAACATTCATTGCAGCCAGCAGACACACAAGTGCAGAGCTTACTGATGAGTCGCTTCATACCAAAACTGTCATGAAGGTAAGAGCACCAAGGCATGGTGCAACAAGGCCCAGTGCTGGTGCTGGAACATAACCTTGTCCCTGCTACTGCAATCAAACCACTTAGGAGCCGTGTGTTGGTGACAGCTTCTCTTGCTGATGCTGGGAGCGGTGATGGCAGCTCTCAGGTGCGTATCCTTCTACACCCGTCAAGGCGGTAGGAGGGAATTGGGGCACCCGTCAGCACCAGGCTGTAGGCTGGAAGTGTTTGTGGGCTGCAGAACGCGTTAGACACCGTGTGGAAGGGCTCCTGGCAATCAGAACTGTTTGCATTTGCTCCATTCAGCAGACACACTTGGGGAAAAGTGTTGTGAGATCCACATGGCTGAATATGATTGTATCCAACCAGCATCCAGTTTGGATGGAAGCTCTCTGAGCACCTTCCTCTCAGAGTCTGCGTTTCTGGGATGCTAGAATCCCTCAGCTTTCTGCAAAGGCCTTGATTTTTCAATAAAAAACTCTTCAAAATGGAGTATCTCTTGGTGATAGCAGGGGAGGAACAGCCAGGGTTTGTGTTTTAATTTGTTTGTTTTAATGCTAAAAACATATGAATTTCTCTGCTTGGAAAGTGAGAGGACTTTTCTTGTTGGCAGCTGGTGGGATGGCCCTTGCTGCAGCCCTCCCAGGAGCCAGGGCTCTGCTTAATTCTGGAGTGAAAGCTGCAGTGTGGCATCCAGGGGACTGTGAATCTCATAGCTTAAATACCTGCAAAGAAATGAATCACTGCTGGGTAACTTTCACACAATCAACTGTCTTGGCGCTTTGGAGTTTCTTGAGGTTTGTGGGGATGCCGATAAGGGGATGCTGAAATGCTGATGAATGGCAAGAAGCCATATGGAGGGGGCTGCAGTTGTCTGCTGCTCCTTCCCGCTCTTCAGAGAGGCATAGGCAGAACTGGCATCTCAAGGATGTCTCTCCTGTTTGGAAAACGAGGTCCAGAGGAGAAGTGAGATGTCTGGGCCAGGGGAAAAAAGCTAGTGGTAGAGCATGACATTGCTCTGCAGAGTTCCCCTGCTTCTGTTTGCTGTAATTAGATCACAGATAAAAGCCTCAGCCTCAGGAGGTCGATTGTTTCTGAGGTCTTGGGAAAACACTTGCACGGACAGAGCTGGGTTTGGGTTGTGGGCTGGGGCAGGCATTTCCTAGGTTTTAATTAGCTACCTGGTTGGTTTAGGGCCTGCTCGGAGACTTGATCTTGCACCTTGCAGGGCTTAAACCTGCCTTGCAGGGCTTAAACACCTTGCCTGTGTTTGCCCTCCCAAGACAGCAGCATTTCAATCCATCAGTTATTTCCGTTTTTATTCCCTCTCTCCTATTTACCGCTTGAACTCCTCTCTTCTCTTTCTCAGATTCTTAGGAACAGCTCAGAACATAGTAATACATTGAGAAGCCAATTAGGGGATTTCAGGGTATATTCTCAAAGCTTGTGGAACTGCTTCCATGCAAAGCTAACCAAATCCACCTCTTTGTGCCCAAGCACACTGCATATCCTTGCAGTGACTTACCTAAAATCTTGGACATAGCCTGTAAGGAACAGGGATTTCTGGTTGTGGGAAAGCTGGAAATAACCAAAATTTGCTCTGTCTCTCTCTCTGTGGAGGACGGTTAAGGAGAAAAGAGAGACCAGTCTCCTAAACCGCAGGGAAGGTGGCATCTGCTGTGAGGTTCGGGATGTGCCTGTTGGTCTGGAGCGAAGCCCGTGTTCCCCAGGTGCTGCAGGAGATGGATGTGTCCCGAGGTGAGCTGTGCTCCCCATGAAGGAGCTTGGCATCCAGGTCCGGACGGGATTTGCTGGAGTGCTGATGGTGCTGGTTGTCGTGGATGCCTGCGCGCTGGAGCCTGGCCTTGTCACCGCTCCTGTGCCAGCCCTCGCGGAAGCGCGTGGCGGCCGGGAAGAGCCTGTGCCCGGGGAAGGGGCAGTGCAACGTTAATGCACTCTGCTGATTCATCATCCCAAGGCTTCCAGTAGTCCTGCCCATCCACCCTCCAAACTGGCCACTTGCTCACAGAGCTTCTTAGTTGTTTAAAATGAAGCTGTTCGTGGCTGTGGAGCGGTGAAGGGCTTGGAGATGGCACCAAGTAGCGGAGACAAGTTCTCAGTATCTGCCTGAGCGGAAAGTGTTCCCTGCAGCACCAGGGCAAATTATCCTTTTGCCTTCTGCTC